CACACACAGCAAGAGAAAATTGAGATCCAGATTCTGACCAGAACTTCAGGCTTATTTTTAGTGAAACCCTTACTAAATATTGATACCAAAGAGTTTTTTTAAAATTACAGATATTCTGGAAACAAAAATTATACCAGAATTTGTTGATAAAAAAATCTGTCCCACCCCCCAAATCTTGGTAAAATGTATTTCTCCACCCAGATTAATCACAGAGACATACTGTAACTGTCTAGATTTTGGATTAAACTGACTCATCAGCCCATATCATTGCTGACAACATTGGATAAAAGAGAAGGGGAAAAATCCCTCTGCCCCCAATTCAGAGCATACTAAAGAGAGAAGTGAGGGAATGTGGATGTTAATTCCTATGGACTCTTTTCTAATACATCTATCAACTCATCCTAACAAACTATTTAGTAGCTTATCCTGAGAATGAGTCAGAAATGTCTCACCAACAGCTGTAATTTTCTGACATGTGTGTGTTCAGTTCATAGCCTGAACAATAAATATTTAATGAGGGTGGGTCTGATGAGACTTTTCTGTCTCTTCTCTTCTTGCTCCTATATATTGTCTGTTAGTTTTTCTTGTTCAGGTTGAGCTCCCATTGGTTTTCCTCTTTTCTAGCTCAGAATGGTTTTGTTGTAAAGGCACAGAACTGGGACTCAGGAAATAGGGTTAATTCATAGCTCTCCCTGACTTTCTGTGACACTTTAAGCAAGTCATTTAGGGCCTAATTTACAAAAGAGCTGAGCTCCCATTTAGACCCTTAAATGTAGTCGCTGGATTTCCAGAAGTGTTCAGCATGTAGTAACTCCCATTGTTCTCAATGGAAGCTGCTTGGTACTGGCTCTGGAGTATCTAGCCTCAGTTGTGGGTGTTGGCACAGGGAGAGGGAGGGGACTGTCAGCTGGGAGCCTGGTCCTCCTGTAGACAGGGGCTGCTTCCACCCCATGCTGCTACCTCTGTATCAGAGGCAGCAGAGACGGGTGGCAGACAGGAGCCAGGCTGCATGGGGAGACGATTTTTAAACTGGTTCCCCTCATGGGCCAGCTCTGCCTGCCACCCCACGGTGCTGCCTCTGATACACAGCAGGGGCACCATTTCAGATTTTGGTGGTGGTGGGAGCTGACCTGTGCATGCTGTAATGGTGGGGGAGGGGGA